CGCAATATGCTTTTGTAATAATATCTCCAACTCCAACTCGCTTATTTGCCGCGATTAACCTGCGAAATCGCAGGTTGTGTTCCGGCTATCGAACTTTGGTGCTTCTAGGAGCGCTGCAGGTAAGGAAATGCCGAACGTAGTTCTCGTGGAGACAGGATAGCAGATGCAGGGGGTGAGACCAATGTCACGTGATGAGCGATAAGACATCTGGTTGGCGATGAGGTATCCAGGCATCGTAGCGCTGTAAATCTGAAGTTTTACAATAGTTATACATAAAATAGTACTAAATCAGTTCATAAAAGGTGTGTGTTGCAGTCATAAATGCAGAAAATAAAATACGATTCCAAAAAGTAAAATAGTATATACAGGAAAAATATAAGTAATATCTTGTGGGCATGGCTGTGTGTGTCACATGATCATCCGGCTAAGATTTCTAAACATCATTATTTACAAGTCAAATAAGTTTTTCAGAGTACTACATACTTAAAAACACAAATTATGTTGGAAAATCCTGGTTTCCACTGAGTAGAAAAGCGGCATATGGACGGAGGTGCCTGTCCTCGTGTAAAATTTCATAGTGAAATAGGTTGAAAATGTCCATATGTTGGCACTCCTTAGCGGCGTCATAAAATGCCGTGTTAGTTCTTAAATATTCCACTATTGTATCCATTTTTAAATCTTCATGGAGACGTTTGTTCTTCACATACGAGTGTGCATTTGTGATAATTCTTAAAAATTGGTTTTGCACAACTTGTAATTTTTGGATTTCACCCTTCGTAGTAATGCTGGCGAAGCGTACGTCATCAGTGATGATTGTGAATGTAAAAAGTATATTATATTAGTTTTCATTTGATATAAGATGTAAAATGAGGCATTAACTTCACAATATTACATACTTCACAATTCATGTGAAGCAATTTTAAATAGTTCTTAAAATTGTCATATTCTGAGCAAATTTGGAGTTGTTTAAAATCTATTAAAATTTGATTAAGATTTATTCTGAGAAAGAGTGGGACAGGGAAAATGGTATTTCGTCCACTGTGCTCTTGGTGAGACAATATATTCTCTGTTCCAAATGCAGATAGCAACATTTCTATAAAAGCGTTTCCAGTGAGAAAATCTAAGAGAGAAATTTAAATTATGAAGTTTTTTGGCTAACTTTGCCAGAGCATCAGCTCTCTTATATCGAAACTTTCCACTGTGTTCAAGAAACATAAGCAAAGTGGATGACGATATCAAGATCTTGCAAGATTTTAGTACTAACCTGAATTTCAACAGTAAGTTATTCCGAGACAGATACTAATTTTCTGTAGCAATTATTGGGGACCATTACATAATAAAACGCTCATTTATCTCGAACCAGTGAAAGAATTTGGAATCCATTTCGGAGCAAATTTTACGCATAGCAATTCAGCCTGACAACACAGAGCATTCATCACTACATCTGTACTGTTTGAAACGTATAGAATTTCTGCTGGCTTTCTTTTTTAGCATCTTAAAGAACAATACCAAAGCCAGCTTTATTATCCATCCTTTTCTGTCAGTTAGACAAATCATTAATTCCATCAGTATCTTCATTCCTTCCATCGGTAAAATAAATTAACTGGTACCTTTCAAGAATAATATCGAAATAGGCAATAAATAGCATGGTGTTCATATTAGAAAAATGGCGAAAAAAAATCGAAAGATTTGATGACGAGTGCCTATTGGTATAATTCAATATTGCATAGTGAATATTGCAGTTACTCAATATTGCAATAGCAATGGTTGGAACAAACAGCACAGATAATAAGAAGAGTGAACTAATAGTTCTGTAGCCACGAACAATTCTTAAAAGATTTTATGTGATTATGGCAAAGCCTCAAGGGCTATCTGCCTAATAGGAGGGATGCCTTCGTCGAGGACTTTCTAAGGGTAACTGGCGCAATGGTTGGAACAAACAGCACAGATAATAAGAAGAGTGAACTAATAGTTCTGTAGCCACGAACTATTCTTAAAAGATTTTATGTGATTATGGCAAAGCCTCAAGGGCTATCTGCCTAATAGGAGGGATCCCTTCGTTGAGGACTTTCTAAGGGTAACTGGCTCGTATACACGTTACACATAGGGAAAACCAGGAAAACGCCCATGCAGACAGCCCGTTTCGGCCTCTGGTGGACCAATTCATGAAAGAAATCTGAGTTTTCTTTAGGAGCTTGCAGTTTATTTCTTCTGTAAAGAAGGGCCCCCAACCGTTCATGAATATATCCATAAGAATTGTTTCACGTTGCTTTAAAAAATTAATCTTCTCATCTTTATCAGAAAGCAGTTGGAAGTAATTGGTACAAAAATGTAACTTACTTAATTCTGATGAAAAGAAAAACAGAAAGTGTTAATGTGTATCTAAAGAACGTCAGTTACAGGTGATACTCCAAGCGTAATTATGCCAAACTGATAACAAACACAACCAGTTCTAGTTAAATTATACTAAATTAACCCCAATTCATAGTCTAGTTTAAAGCTCGTAAGATCAGAATAGAATCGAGATTACTTTTGCACTGCATTTAAATATTGTGACTGTATTCGAATTTAATATTAAGTCTAAATCTAATAAGATTGACAGCGGTTGATTCTCCCTCAAGTGGCTGGGGCATTTCTATGGATACGCAATATTATTTAAAGAATTTAATAGAAATATCACAACTAAATCTAATACATAAAAGTACATTCCCAAAACATAAATAAAAATAATGTTCTTTATTGTTGCCAGTTAATATTTTTAATGCAGGATTTAATTGAAAACGAATGTGTTTTTTACGGTTTTCTGACATTTCTGACATCTGACACCTTAATAGTAATAATACGTGTCTATTCAGGTCGAAACAACTATTATCTTCTGTTCTTGTAACTGCAGAAGTTCATTTCTTATTTAACATTAATGTTCAAGAAATCTTAAAAAAATTCATTGATTCTTTTAATATTTATCCTACGTACTCACAATTACAAACTGAAGTAAGTTTTACTTTGTAATACGTACTTCAGTTATGAAGTTTTACAAAGTAAAGGGACTCATGAAACAAAAGTTTCAATAGAATAGATAAACTAAAGATAGAACAGATTTGAAAATGGTTTTCATTTTTGGGAGGTGTCGCAGAGCAAGTGTTTAATCAGTAATGTGGAGGATTTTAATTTCTTGTCCATTTTTGTTCTTCGTATGTCTGTCATGCAGATTTTCACACGTTCCAAAGACACAAAAGTTTAAATTAAATGGTAATAAATCTGAGTTTTAACCACAGTTTTCAAAATAGATCAGTAACAGGTGTCAATATGGGAACAAAATATTAACTCCCTATCTGCTTTAGAAGAAACGTATTCTCCGTAATTAAGTGGTTATTCTATGGTGTTGGAAATTATTTTAAACTTTAAAAGCATAAGTAAATTTGAATTGTTATTAAGTAATACCTGCAAGTTAATGATAATTACGGGCTATAACTCGCCGTGACATTAAATACAGCTTTAACAGGCTTTTAGATTTAATGGAAATTGATTAGCAAAAGAAAAGAAAGGAAACTGCTTTAGACTAAAGGTCTTCCTGGAAAATATGGCCGTAAAAGGAAGTGATTAGTGTTCACATTATGATGCATAGACTCCAATTCTGTATTTAGATAGACAATTTTAGTAGAATTATAATTAATTATTATTATTAATATTAACAATTGCGCGCAGCGTATTATACTAAATTAATTAGTGTACTAATAATACTAAATTAATTAGTATTTTCCAGTGCAAGGCAGCGCGAGACAAATTTGAGAGAAAGCTATGCCCGAAAAGTAAGAATACAGGGCAAGTGTATTTAACTTTAAGTAAATGGATATCTCGGTAATTTTTATTTAAATTGAATAATCTTATTCACCACTAAACATAGTAACCGTAATTGCATCCTTTTATTGCTTTCCAGAAATCTCGAGAAGCAGAAAGTACTAGAAATTTCTCGCGACCGGTTGAAAACTATACAAAGCCAGAGAGAGATAGCATTGTAGCTCAAAATTGTATTTCTGTTTGAATTTTCTCAATTCAGGACTTTCCAGAACCTACCTACAATTCACTTTGCTTCTCGAAGTCCCCGTGATAATTGGTCACACCCTTCACACACCATCTCCAATCCCAGCCCGTTCAGAACTCACGTAATAGATATGCATTGTAATGCGTCCTCAACGACCCAATTACATGGACCCGAAAAACATCGAGCATACTGCACTGTATTCTATGCATAATAGTAGAACTAGGAACTAAGAGCTTTTTCAGCTCAACTGCTTAGTTACTGTTGTTGCGAGTTGTTTAATTCCGTGACAACTGAGGATAGCTTTCTGTTTAGATGCGATTTGCATCGCGTTGTATTTAACGTTTTTAGTTGCTTCAAGTATAACTACTGATTATATTGCGTGATATTGTGAACGCTTATACGAAAATCTCCGAGGAAGCTTCCAGAGTTTCGATATATTACTTTTGATCAGAATAAATTTTATTAACCTATTATCGGATTCGTGCATTCAATCTATTACGAACCCATACGCACGCAACAATACATAATGACAACTCAATATAGTAGTCCGTTTGCAGTTAAAATTATTCAGCTATCTTACCTATTTGCTCTTGTGGGCTCTGACGTAAGCTATACTGTTTCTGAAAGGCCAGAAAATTGATATTTCAGGTGAATTACTGTGCCTCAGATTGGTACCAAAAAAAAAAGTGATACGTTACTTATCTGTTGCTTAAGTAACTGTATGCCATTTATCCAATTAACAAAGGGCTGACTTTGATTGATATTTTTCGATAAGCAAGTTTCCATATGTGTGCGTCAAAACACATTTGGGTTAAATAGAACAATGCTCGATATCGATGTCATATGAGAAAAAAAAAAAAAATCTTCACCAGCTGCGTAGCTCACCGGCGTAGCTTCACCAGCTAAGTGACAGGACACATAAAAGTACATTGTTCACTCATCATAAGCTACTGTTTGACTCACATTATAAAATTCTGCTTTATGGTGTTGTAATAGCGCGTAATAAATTTTATAAATTGCAACAAAGAGGCATTCTGATTGCTCACAATAAGCTGCATATCATAAGCTCAGAATGGGAGTTGTAACGGATCTCCTTTGCCGACTATTCCTATCCACAAGTAAGTAAAAACCTATTTTACATAAGTATAAAGATAAAACAGAAATGTAAAGATTTAACATTATTGTTTATACATTTCACTACCAAAGAATATTTTAAGGAAACAAATGCTTGAGGCTAATCTTTGGAATATGGTAATAGGTAGTTTGGCGACATTTTGGTAAGGCGATAAAGGTTACTAGCTAGGACTTTAGCAGTGTACATGGATAAAGTTAAGAGTGTGCGCAATGCCATTTTTGTGCAATTCTGGGATGTTATTTTAAGTGAAAATAGGTCGAAGTGTATATGGATGATACCGTGTATGTGCAATTCTTAAAAACGCGGCAAGCAGTGGGCGATTCTGCACTTTCTCCCAATTTCGCACCTAATCTTCGTCATGATTAAGCACTTTTGTTCCATAAAAGTTCTAGCATAAGCGTAATTCCGATAGCAGATTGTTGGAAAAAATGTTGAGTAAAAAAAACATGCCTTTACTTCGTGAAAACAAAATGGCGTCCAAAACAAAACTAGCAGGTTGCTGTAGCAGGGTTGGTCGCCAAATTTTCGCCAAAAATCGCCAAGTTACCATAATCCGAAGATTAACCATGCTTGATTCTCAAATGCGATGCCGTGTTAGCATATTAATGACACTGATGGATATCATAGAACAAAACAATTAATTCAAGGCTTGTATTTTAAAATTCTGTAAATCTGTGCTGATAACTAGTTTCTACCTGTAAATTCTAAACTGAAATAAGCTTTAGCAATTTGCTGCGAAGAACATGCTATCTTTAGTTAGTACCGTATATATACTGGCATACATAGATTTTCTACCGACTACAGGGATAGAAAGCATTCAAACCTGGAACGGTTGCTTTTGTTAGCTGAAAGATTCCAAGACTTGTAGAGATGACGTAAGGGGAAAGAAAAACAAGAGCCTGTCATTTTCGGGGCGTGCTTTCTATGTATATGCAGCTACCGTTTGTTTTCAGGTGAAAGTTTTCATCAGAAATTCCAACATAATATATATTCTATTTTTTATACCACATAAAACTGTGAATGGATACAACATGTGTAAAGTCGTGCTCTATATCCGTTGAAAATCAAGAACAGTTTTTTTTATTCATTTTGTGTTACAAATAAAGTGTTTTTCATAATATTGACTATTAAATTGAAATGTTCCTGTAATCCAAATCCAAATACCTATTCCATCTGGTAGGATTTGAACCAGAAAATTACAATAATATTGAGAAATATTTAATTAAAATTTAGTTGTATGCCATTTATAAAATTTAATATACATTTATATATTGGATGCAATATTTTACATTACAAATTTACTCTTAACTCGCCTGTTCCAAATTTAGTGGTGAAGCATAAAACAATTACATTGCATAATACACTTTAACACAGCAACAGTTGTAATGCTCTGTTGAGTTCAGAGAATTTTATTCCAAAAAATCATGTAAGAAGTATATACATTTTCTTATTCCTTGCAAATTTAATTGCAAAAATGGTTATGCGCTTTTATTTAGAAATTCTGACTTGTATAGTTTTTTTTTATTTTTCTTTCGGTTAAAATACTTTTTCAGATATTTTCAATTTTCTTTATCTTATCAGCACTTAATTTCTTTTCCGAACATATCACTTGCTTAGATAAATTAATAGATTTTGTTTGCTTTTCAGACTGCGTAATTTTGATTACTCAATTTAATGATATCATAATATCAGATGCAAAAAACAAAAAATAACTCGCTTCAAGATTGTACCAAGATACAACAATGCCAAATATTTATTTGATTAGCACGACTTTTAGGGAGTTACTTGGGAGAAAAGCGTAGGTAAATATATAATTCATACATTTGTAATATAAAATATGAGGCAGTTTCCTCTAGAAATTCCTCCCCGTAAAAGGCATCTTAATCATATGGTCACACCATGCTTTACCATAATCTAATCATAGATTTGCTAAGCCATATACCGATCTATACTGCACTTTTAAACACCATTATTGTCAACCACTTGGTTATTCTACATTCACAGCTATCATTAGTGCCAATCATGTGATACTTTGGAGACATGTTTTCCTCACATTAGTTTACATTAGTTTTTCCTCACATATAAAAAAGTTTTCCTGACATTAGTTTTTCCTCTCATATAAAAAAGTACAGTAATAAAGTAGAGTTCTTTGTTAAAATTAATTAACATCAATCCTGTGCATTGTTTTCAGTTGATGATTTTGATTACGTTACAAATTTTGAGTTTACACATTTTGAAAATTAACTGTAAAAGATCTTTGGCTGAGTTAGACCATTTAATCACTGGTAATCAAAGGGTCTTTCAAATTTGATTTTTCAAATGCATTTATTCTGCATACTGGGATATAAATGGTTGTCTTAATGATTTTGAATTATTACGTTAAAGTGTCAAACAATTATTTATTATGAAATACTGAGAAGTTAATAAAAAAAATCATAATAAAAGATTATTTTTTTTTCTTCATTTAATAAGAAATTATTTATTATGATTTTTTATGAATTTTTTTATTAACATTATATTTTTTCTTCATTTAATAAGAAATATTTATTATGATTTTTTTATTAATTCTCAGTATTTCATAATATAAATTTTGTTTGACACTTTTGTAATAATTCAAAATCATTAAGACAACCATTTGTACATCCCGGTATGTAGAATAAATGCATTTGAAAAATCAAATTTGAAAGACCTTTTGATTACCAGTGATTAAATGGTCTAACTCAGCCAAAGATCTTTTACAGTTAATTTTCAAAATGTATAAACTCTAAATTTGTAACGTATCAAAATCTTCAACTGAAAACAGTGCACAAGATTGATGCTAATTAGTTTTAACAAAGAACACTGTCTAGTTTATGACTGTACTTTTTTATATTACTGTTTTAAATTTTTCTCATGAAATAAATTTTATTCTAAAGTAGTAAACTGAAAATTGTTTCTTTCACAAGGGAATACAATATTCTTTTCTTATAATAGCAGGCTTTTTGAAGCTCCATCGAAATATATCATACTAAAAAACATTACTTGTGTACCAGAGAAAAGAAACAGTTAAATAATTATGTTTTGTTGTAACATTATCATATTAGCCGTAAATATTAAAAATACAAAAAATTTACAGTTAACGTTTTCTACAATATAAAAACTTACAGTTATGTTTTTTGTAATTCAATTCAAGTAATTCTTAGTTACTATCTCGAAATAAGTTCTAGTAAATATTAGAATAAACAAGATTATGTAATTTCGCCCAAACGTTATACTTTAAGAAATTTTTAAATAAGCCTACAATGCATGAAATTTTACATTTCAAACATGTGTTTCACTTCGAAATATTACTTTTATTTCATGAATTCATAAAAATTAATCTGTCCTTAAACAAAAAGCTCCATAAAACACAGAGCATAAAAATACGCAGTGAAAGTCCTTCCACCATTTAGTAATAAGCCAGCGAGCACTAGTGACACTGAAAACCATTTATACAATGTAAATACTTTCCGTTGCAAGCCATTCCGGAATTAGTGAATCATTGACGTTGATATCATGCAGATTCTTAAAGCAGCAACGTCTGTCACAGAGGATTGGTAAAGACAACTATTCAAAGATACCATTAATAACGTAAATACTAAGAGATATTTTAATAGCTATAACATCGTAATTACGCACAGAAGACAAATTCTCGAGGGAAAAAATAGTGATATTACAAGGCTGTTAAGATTTTCACAGTATTGCTGTAGTTTATTTGATTACAATAGATTGAAAAAGTAGTGTTCTGTATTTTGCTTTCAAATAAATGCGAAATTTTCTATTTAGATGAGGAAATTACGTCATCCTGAGTATGTTGTAAGGGGTAAAGTAAAGGCAACACCAGGACCGTCTTTCATAGATTATCAGGTATATTTCTCCTCTAGCCTTCTTCGAGAGCTTCTATGAGAGTTAGAAGTGATTGCACCGAAAACTTCTAATTTAAAAGCTGTATTTATTTTTCGCTACAGAACCCGCTCCGCAATATTCAGCAGCTTATTCCACGCAACAGAAGCTTAGCATTGCATGCAAATGAATTATATAAATACATTTTAAGAAGATAATAGTACCAAATTGATTGGTTTGGGAAAGGGCTGTTAGACTTTCCATCAGTTATTATGCTTCATAGCCATTTCTGAAATATGTATGCATATATATTATAGAAAGAGTATTCACCGATAACGATTTTCTTCATGCAAATTAATTAGTTTGCCAATTTCGATCACACAGGTTTACTTTACTTACAATAATTTTAATTTAGTTAGAATCTTATACTAATATAAAATATAGTATAAGATTCTAGATAAATCAAAGATATTGTATTGGCTAAATTAAAGTTATTGTATTGGCTAAATAAAGTTATTGTATTGGATAAATTAAAGTTATTGTATTGGCTAAATTAAAGTTATTGTATTGGCCAAATTAAAGTTATTGTATTGGCTAAATTAAAGGTATTGTATTGTATTGAACTATGAAGCGACTATTAGCTAAGTTCAAACTGTATCAATAACAACAAGTGAAAAGACCTTTTTTTTTATTAAAGACCCTTTTATTCAGAAAAGATCCTTTTTTATTCCATTTATTTATGGAAAGTATTTACAGTAGACACTCCTGGTGCTTATAATTTAAGCCAATAAGTTTGGTTGTAACTCAAAATAGAAATGTAAAATTAAAATAATCAGCCAAAGCTGCAAAGAGGCAATTAATGCGCTTATTGTTGTGAATAAAATGGTTACAGCCGAAAACATCGCGGCGAAAACATCGCAGACGAAAATGTCGCGGAGAAAACAACGCAAGGCGAAACGGTCGTGCTACAAAACATCGTGGGAGAAAACATCGCAAAGAGAAAACATCGTGGGAGAAAACATCGCAAAGAGAAAACATCGCAGTTCTAAAACATCGTGGTACAAAACATCGTCGTCGAAAATAAAGCGGTTCAAAAACATCGCAGTTTAAAAACATCGTCGTTGAAAATATCGTGGTAAAAAATAAAGTATCTACAAATCATCGCATGACGATAACATCGCAGACATGCTTTTTTCAGGCATGCTTTAATAAGTGTAAATGGATATTCCCATAATGATTTGTGAGCGCAAGATGGAAAGAAGGATAATTTTTACTTTCATATTTTTTATTAATTAATAAATTTTTGCTGAGAAAATAAAAAGGAAACTTAAGCATAAAAAAATTAATGCAACTTATAGCACTTAATAGAATTTTAAACAGACATAGTTAACTAACAAAGACCATTAATAAATCATTTTTATAAAGTTTTTACTGGTAATATTTCATGAAAAGTATAATCTATAAGTTACATTTAATCTTCTATGCTTAAGTTTCCTTCTTACGTTTACAGCAAAAATTTATTAGTTAATAAAATATGTGAAAGTAAAATTTATCCTTCTTTATACCTTGCGCTCACAAATCATTATGGGAATATCCATTTACAATTATTAAAACCTGAAAAAAGCATGTCTGCGATGTTATCGTCATGCGATGATTTGTAGATACTTTATTTTTTACCACGATATTTTCGTCGGCGATGTTTTTAAACTGCGATGTTTTTGAACCGCTTTATTTTCGACGACGATGTTTTGTACCACGATGTTTTAGAACTGCGATGTTTTCTCTTTGCGATGTTTTCCCCCCCCACGATGTTTTGTAGCACGACGTTTTCACCTTGCGTTGTTTTCTCCGCGACGTTTTCGTCCACGATGTTTTTTGCCGCGATGTTATCAGGCGGACACCGAATAAAATTTAGTTGCAAACAAGTATCATATTCGTGGAATTTAACCTATCGAAACCTATCGAATCGAATACTCTACGCTTGAGTCATTTAGGCAGAACACATTCTAAATTCACCTTCCAAAATCTTCCCGTAAATACTAACTTGTTTCTACCTCATCTAAACATACGCGAGCTGACTCATTTACATTCCGGTAAGAAAGAGTGAGTGAAAAGCAACAGCGATAGGAAAGGTTGCTTCAAAATAAAATTAACTGTTAAGTAAATTAAATAAAAATGAGTAAATACTTATAAATATATCGTCACATTTTTGCTTGCTGCTTCAAAACTAACACGTGCGGCTCACTTATCTGCTATATCATCCATTACCTTAAGATGCGCTAAGTTTCCCGAACTGTGTGGTGCATATTGTACCCATAATGATGAGAGATTAAGCGGTTTAAGAATTGCTTTATCCAGTAACAAAATATGTTAACACCTACAGCTTCTTTTGTCTGCAAGTTTTATTCTTCTATATGCAATAGATCTTCCTAATATATCACACACACACAAACACACATACATATTTTAAACGTCCGGTACATTGTAATGCATACAGGAGTTCTCATTTACCTCTTTGTCTCAGGTGAAAAAATATGTTGGCCCGACTCTGCAAAGATGAGTAACAAAGAAAACTTACAAAATATGTTAACACCTACAGCTTCTTTTGTCTGCAAGTTTTATTCTTCTATATGCAATAGATCTTCCTAATATATCACACACACACAAACACACATACATATTTTAAACGTCCGGTACATTGTAATGCATACAGGAGCTCTCATTTACCTCTTTGTCTCAGGTGAAAAAATATGTTGGCCCGACTCTGCAAAGATGAGTAACAAAGAAAACTTACAAAATATGTTAACACCTACAGCTTCCTTTGTCTGCAAGTTTTATTCTTCTATATGCAATAGATCTTCCTAATATATCACACACACACAAACACACATACATATTTCAAACGTCCGGTACATTGTAATGCATACAGGAGCTCTCATTTACCTCTTTGTCTCAGGTGAAAAAATATGTTGGCCCGACTCTGCAAAGATGAGTAACAAAGAAAACTTCTTACTTAAATGGATGAATTAAACCTTTCATCCTGTGTTGGAAAGATGTTAAAAAGATGTTAAATACTTACTTTCAGATTCCATACCAGAGATGTATGTGCCGTGGGATGCATATTACCTTGGGTCAGCCTTCAACGTCTCGTCTTTCACCGACGTTTGTCTGAAACCCGTGTGCTTTGAATCAGGTAACTTTTAGTTTCTCTTTGAATCATGTGACTTCTAGTTTAGTACAAGTGTTTAGGCAAAATAATCTAACCGGATAGCATATTTCACAAGTGCACATCAGCGTAGCCACTGAGGGGGGGTTTCGAAAATGGACCAATGAGCTTCTATTGCCTTTATGAGGCTAAATCTTCGTACATGTGAGCGTATGTTATTTAAGTTTTAATTTGAATTTGTTTCGCAGTTATAAATGTATGGCGTAATAGTAGAAAATCTCGTAGTACTTTCGTTTTATGAGTTTAATTAATTGCTGACATTTCACTTTCGCGATTTTTATAACGGATTATTATTTGGATTGATGTTTACGACCATATTATATCTCTTTACATTGAGAAAATGGACTCTCGTTACAATTAGCTTCGAATATTACGCATTTACTAACATCTGTGGATTAACATAAATCAAGTGTACAGTTTTTTTTAATTGAGCTGAGAAGGACTGAAAGTGTTTGATGAGTATTTCTTGTGGGACATATTTAAGAGTGAGCAGTTCTTAAATGTAAAATTTAACACAATGAATACGAATGCAAATTAGTAAAGTTCACTTTGAATACAATTCTGCATTGGCTATTACTATAGAACATCTTTGTCGTATAGATTGCAATAAAAACTGCTGACTTCTATTTACATATAGTATAATTGGTGTAAATATTTTTCTCATACGCATAGTTTTATGTAAAGATAGCATTTGGGATCAGATGTTCATCACATATTTCTTTCTTCATCTTATTTATCTTTTGTTAAATAATATTTCACAAGGATATTTTTGCGGAGCGTGTAACATGTGTTTGTATTCATTTCAAATTCTTTTAATCAGGTAGGGAAACCTTCACAATTGCTTATATTTGATCTAACTTTGCAATGAAGATTTTTAGAAGAAATCGACGATGCTTTGATTATTCTGTACAAAAAATTGCGTGGCAAAATATTTTTAACCATCTTGCTTAAATCTCAAAGCACGGGAACGGTCATGTGACATGACACAAATAGTACTGTATGCCCATTGGTCCATCCTAGAAGCCACTCCCTCGGTGGCTATACAGATGTACACTTGTGAAATATGCAACCGGATATTGTTTAGTCACTGCTAACAAGACACTCTTTTGTACTTCGCTGAAACATTGCAACTCTTGGGATCTTGACAAAAAAATGTCTGAAAATCTTTGACACTTAGCGGACTTAATCTCTTTTTCTTTTATCTATCCAGAATCGAATTAAGTTACCGTATTTTGTAAAAAATCATTCCGAATGGAAGATTTTCGGGCTCATGTTTGCGGTTTTACAGCTAAGACAGCAGAGGTAGGGCATTTCCCTGTATTTAATTTTTCTAATTTTGACCGAAAACATCCTAGAATATAAATACTGACATTTACTGTACTGACAATAATACTGACTGTTGTTATTTTCTAAGGAATTCTTCAGAAAATTTTGACTGGTTTCTTTTTCTCTCTAAATTCTGCAAAGGCAGAAAAGTAATTATGTAAAGTTAGAAACTTTTATGTTTAATTCTCGATTGGGATCTAAACAGAACTGAATAGAAGCGAACATTTATTAAGTCCCTTTCAAAGCAGCTACAGCTGACAAATATTTGCTAGTTAAAATGTGCTGCAGTCTTCTGTAATTTGATGACATAATGCAATTGAAATTCTTATACGTCAATATGAGATTTACTTATATGGCTGTGAGAGACAGAAAGTATCTTCCTTTTCTTAATTTAATGTAAGGAGAATGTTACATTCTTAAATGCACATTAAAAACCCATTCTCATCTTAATTTTACATATAAAACATGAAAGCTTTCAGATTTTATATTACGCCAAAGGGGAATTTTTACACTTACATATACATACGCATTTTAACAGCACTTGTGCTAAAAATATTTTAAAATAGCGTATCTTTCGAATTTCCGATAGAGAGTCTCGCGCGCTGAAGATCAATTTCCTTTTCCTTAGAGTGTTGCCATTGCTCGCTTTGAAATCGTTGAGTTTGTTAATCAAAAATTCGTTAAAAGGTTTACGAAAAATGAAGTAGACAATAAAACAAGTGCGAAATGTCAAATTCGGACTTACAGGTGTCCGTATTCAATTGCAAGGCTACGTTATTCGAAATTTGATGGATTTAGGTAGCGTTGTTTTTTTTATAATGGAAAAAACATGCAATACATTCATGCAGATTCTTCATTATTTAATTTCTTTAAATATAAAACAGAGTGATAATGTTTGGATGGCAATAATATAAAAAAAGAGACGCCAATTAAAATGAACTCATGCAAAATGCCGTTTCGAGATTAATAACCTTTCTAAATTAACGCTCTTTTGGACTAAAATGAAATATTTCAAGGTAAAACTTATCACTTATCTGCATTATAAAAATGCAAACATTTGTAGGTCACTTTATAATTCACTTTTCTTTAAGTTTATATAGAGATAGAATTGCCATAATTTTGTAAGACATGAGTCTGCTTTCTTTCTGCTGTTGTAAAATATTTTCTTATTGGTCCCATTCTATGCTACTTCGTTGCTGAAACTCTGTCGAAAAAAAGTCGTGCATTTTAAATAATGGCAGAAGATCACACAAAGCTACCATTAAAAGAATATGCGAAACTAAATCATTTAAGGATTAATGTAAACTGCGTGTAAATGTAACCTATTGAAATTAAGATTTTTCTCATTACTTGCAACAGATAAATCGAAGTAATAAATCGTCCCCAATGTATTGCCTTTAAATTTATATTTACAAGGTGAGTCAGAAATATGGCAAAAAATTTAAGTCAAATGCAATTTTAAAATTTTAATAGGAAAAGGAGAAGCATTTATTATTCTAAAGGGGCTTTGGCCTTGAGAGACTATTGCTTTTGTTTTGGCATTTTGCGTCGAAACCTTTAAAAAGCTCGATCACTTTTCAAATTGTTGCCATCAAATATTATCACCCTGTATTATATTTAAAGAAATTAAATAATGAGTAATCTGCATAAATACATGTATGTTTCTCGCATTGTGATAAAACAACGGTACCTAGAGCCATCCAATTTTGAATGACGTAATCCTACTGCGAATATGGGATCTGAAAGCCCGCATTTGAAATTTGGAATTTGTTTTTTATGATCGATTTCATATTTCGTTAAAACTTTATCGAATTTTTGATTAATAAGCTCAAAGATTTCAAAGCGAGCAAAAGCAACGTTGTGCAGAAAAAACATTTTTATCTCCATCGCGTGACTGTGGATCGGAAATTCTAAAGATATGCTCAATTTAAAATTATTTTATGATTCTGCTCTTGAACTGAATTTTATGGTTTAAGTGCGAAGAACAAGATATTTAATAAATAAAGGTAACACACAAAATGTTAAAAAAGCGCCCTTTTGGATGTAATTTAAACTCTGAAACCTTTCAGATTTTATTTTTTAAATTTTAAACTTCATTTTTTCGTTTTAAGTATGTGACTCGTGATCCAGTTTCTATCATTAGCCAATCTGACGGTGAAGGTACAGGAGTAAATTTCAGCAGCAACAGAAGTGTTTGCGTTTTCAGTCATCCGAGCGGTGATTGATCTTGTTAAAACTCTCCAGCCGGCGAGGCCGTATATGTACGGTCCAGACTATGTTTTGTCATATCATTAAGTACGAATATATACGTGCATACTAAAATATGTTCAAAATATTAAAGCAGTATATTAAAAAAAAATGTTCGAGGTATAAATACACAAGAGCAATTTACTATAGAAACAAAGAAAATAAATACCTCATTCTCAAGAAAATTTGAGGTTTATGTACCCAACTCTTAGCTTGAATTTTCTGAGCATTCCCTAGGATGCTTGTAAGATCACGAACCCGGAGAGACTTGAATGTATTATCGTATTGCTGCCACTGACTATGAAAAGTAGCGAAAATTATTATTTATTACAGAAAATGCGCAAAACATAAACTCTCTTGGAAGGCTTTGACATAACATATTTGAATGCAGCGACAGCGGTCAGTATTGAAAGCTTTTGAAACGACAAGCAATTTAAGCCAGTAAAATGAGTGTGGTTGGTATTGTTAAGTAATATTTTTGAGTTTGGAGACTTGATATTTTAATGGCACTGTCTCATTTCCTCAATCATAATAATGTCATCATACAATATTATCAAAAATGCAGTCATGATTCTGACTCAGTCTAGTCAAGTGTTTTATACATACGCCAAAAATAAGTGAAATGTTCTGTTTCAGATTTAGAAACTGATGACCTACCAATGGACATTGATCGTATTTTAACAACCTCAGATGCCTATGTCTGCCTGACACCTGAGTGTGTCAAAGAAGGTAACATTCAGACTTTTTTATCAGTCAATTTCTTAAAAATGCTTTCTTTTTTGTTCGAAAGAAGAAACACTTGACCTTTAAAACGGGTTGCATTGTAAAGAAACTTCGAAGCTTATGATCGAGCTTATCTATATTCGTATAGGGTAAAGAAAGTTCAGAAACCTTTTCTTTAATTCTAATTGCTGTATTAAGACAATGCTTTTTAAATTTTTCTTACTTATTGCATAAGCGTTTTCTCATCATAATTGACTATAAGGTAGCGACCCAAAAATAAATAACTGAGAACCTTTGCTGAACATTACACAAATACAGAAAAATGGTCACGAAAAGAATTAAAGTTTAATAAATGAAAATTATGCTAATTTAGAAAATTACCACTACCGCTATGTATATAGTAAATTAAAGGCCGCTAATTTGTGTAGAAATACAATTTGTGTTACGTTCGTTTGCGCACTGTACGTTCTTTTGCCATAGTTAGGACTATATCTTAGAATGATTTACACTAGTCATATCAAGAAATTAGAAGTATATATTTCGAATTATCTTTTACAACAACATAAGTTGAGAAAATAGTAAATACATCGCCTGCAATATCAAATTCAGTCATAGTAATACACTATATTATATAAGTATATTCATAGAAATGCATTTTTGTTCGCCAACTATTAAGCTTATGACGCAGGAAAATATTAAAATGATTTATGATTTTGTCTATAAATTATTAATTCTTAAAAGGCTTTCTTTCAGTTTTTCTCACAATGTGCTTTCTTAACTTTCGGTAATCGTTTCTCGAAAACTATTCAACCCGGAAGGCTTAAATTAAGTGAAACGTAAAATAATGCTTATCATTCTTAAATGATAAACCATCACGAAATATTTAAAATTGTTTGGTGCAGTAGGTTTTGAACAAAGTGTCCCAAACTAGCACACTATCACAAAAAATTCGTCAAAGGTAAGTGAAATTAAACAAATGATTTTTAAATATGCATTTAATTTATATTTTATGTGTTTTGTATCTGTGTATATACAATCTGTGTATTTTAAGTTAAAAAAAGAATCGAGTGTATATAATAATAATAAAAAAAATCGAATGTACATTATTTAGAGAAAAGTTATACCTTAACAACTTTTTTTCTCGAAATAGTTGAATTTCGCCAGTCGAGATGTCGCATGTCCTCTTAAGAAGGAAATTTTGTTCAGTCAATTTATTTGCAAACCAAGTTTAATTTATCGTTTTATTACTGGAGTTCTTATAAATGCTTTGCCAAAGCTACCTTTCAGTATATTTTTGTTTAAAAAAAAAGACCTTTCTTATTAACGCAAAATGTGTTTATTTATTAACGGCAACAACGAATTGTGTTCAACGTTGAATTGAATGTGAATCAACGGCTTGAAAAATCGCCTTGAGCGAGGACAAAGCGTTTCACTCCTATGCAAACTTCTTAAATGCTGTTAAAGTTTTGAAGATCCCAAGCTATTGCAAATTATACAGGAAATAAAATTCCTGAATACTGACTCTACTGCGGTACCGAAGGACCCAGGTTCGATCCCGCTAGAGGCATTGATGAGAATACTCTAAATATGCGGCGAGCCAGACTCCTCTCGAGATTGGTGTTCTTCTCGAGAGATTGGTGTTGGGGGAAGAGGAATGGCAGACCTTCGGACCTGTCCCTCCGGGTGCTGTCCTTGAAAATTGGGGACATAATTGAGCGAAGTCGTACTGTCACCTGTTGGTGCTCAGAGCTCAAGGCCTGTTGCTAAAGACAGGCGCAATCTTCAATTCCTTGCCACGATGAGTTTCGTGGGCGTGTTCTGATGCTACTGCCAAACAAGTGAGTCGCAGTCAATAAAGTCACAATATAACAACAACGAAATTAACTTGTGGAAGTTAAAACAATCGAATATCATACCTAGAATCTTTAAAGACCTTTTAAGCAACATGTACTGTAGTCTAAATTTTAATATATTTTGGTTAAAAAGTAAACTGAAGCCTTTCATAGGAAATACGGTCAAGAGCCCAATTATCTTTTTTTTCGCATTCGAAAGTGAAATTATTTTCTGCTACTGACGGTTGTTTGTTCGTTTTTCAGCTGCCAAGATCTTGTCCAATATGGATGACACTGTTGACCCATGCGATGACTTCTACCAATTTGCCTGTGGTGGTTGGAGGGATAGACACAGTATTCCTGAGGATAAGTCGTACATTTCGGTCTTTGCGGAAACTCAGCTGGACTTGAACCTTAAACTCAAAGGCAAGTAGTCAATTAAGTTGCTAATGTATTCAATAAATTGAATCAGACAAAACTGTCAGATAATCTCGTATAAATTACCGAAACTTGATTTCATTCCATCAATTAAACTATAATTTAGAATTTAAAGAGAGAATTTCCAGTCTTCTAAACCAGTGTTTTACAAAGCGGAGGGTACGCGGTCCCTTTGGTCCTCCAGAGGGTATGCGAAGGGATCTTTGGGGGTACGCCATAGCAGGCTCACGATGACTTGCGTGTGTATGATCGCTTATGCAGGCGTGAGTGCGAGGTTCTCTCATTGGCTACTGTCTCTGGTTTCACTAGTGTCTGAGGAACTCAACATCATAGTTGCATCGGTTTTATAGCGCATGCATATTGCATCATGTTATTATTACTATTATTGTTGTTATTATTATTATATGTTATGGTATTGTATTATATTGCATAGAAGAACTCCAATTATTGGGACCGGACTGTATTCGGGTAATCAAAAATTCGGATATTTCGATTTTTCTCGAGGAAAGGGTCTACGTATTCGTTAATTAATTGATGTATGTACTCTATGTTGAAAATGGGAGAAAAAAAACTATTTTTAAAGAAAAAAGGTTTTAATTGATTAAAATAAAAAGGCAATATTTTTATGTACCTGCTATGTAGCTTACTGTACAGTACTTGCAAGGGCTGAAAGTCACTGATTACTGAATATCTTGGTCAAAGTAAGCTGTTTGACAGTCTTCATCCGTTTTTGGGCAGCCAAGACGCGTCCGCTCGAGAATGAGAAGTTGCATGGGATCACACTCGGGCTGACGTTCCATCCACTTCAACGAAGTTTCATCGCCTGCAAACGCTTCACCAGCTGATGGTCCCGTGTCTGCATGAGCATTGACATTAAAACCATCTTCTTCTTCGACACTTTCTTCCCTCATATTTTCGATAAGTTCATCTTCATTTAGAATTTGAAACCCAGGGTCTGACGAATCACACACACATTCTGCTGTGTCCTCAGCACCAACTTCTGAACATCCAGGAATTTTCAAAAGAATGCTGCATAATTCCTCAAGTGACACGTCATCCTCATCTTCTCCTATCTCTTCCCTTTCATTTGAGCTTCTTTTTTATTTTTCTCCTTTTCCTTCTCTTCTTCAGTTGATTCTGAAAACTTTTGAAATTCTGAAACCGATTCGGATAGTCGGAGTTCGGATAATTAGAGTTGTACTGTATTACATTATATTATATGATAAACATTATATTATACTGTATAACATTACATTATAGCCTATCCTATTCTATTCTATCTTATCCTATCCTATCCTGTCCTATTATATTATATTATATTATATACTTCAGCAGATACAGATAGTAACAAGTATAACGGATAATTACTTTCATCTTTCAAGGGTACGCGATCAAAAATGTTTGTAGATCGCTGTTCTAAACAATATGATTATTAAGGCACTGACATATTTGGGACAAAATTTTGGCCTAGAAATAGCTTTCACATGATTAACTGTTTCATAAGATTCCATGATTTCTCTATAAGAGTGAAATCAACAGACATAGCTAACCATTTTATCTGCTTAATGATAATATTTTCAAAAAAAAACGTCAGTGAGAGTTTCTTCGATTGGTCCTTGTTATCATTAATAAAAAAAATACCATACTCACATGAATTTCTAAGCAGCTGTACTTACGATTTTAAATCTACATCCTGATATTCTTTGAACAGACGCAAATGATTTGCTACACACGGGGCCAGTGGGAATAAATCTGTTTGTGGTTATTCTTGCTCATATTATCCCATATTTTCATACACCTGTGTAACAAGTTCTATTAACCAATACTTGTGATATCACTTTGCTCATTTATTTTTGATTGCGAGCATACGTGAGGTTAGAAAAAGATGTTAAGCTAAACCTTCACTTGTCATTAAAGAACACAGATATTGCAGGTTGAGATTTCGGTTTAATGTTTCATTACGAATATTTAAAGCTACTCACTTCATAAATTAATGCAAGTGCCGAAAGATATTTTTGGTTTAAGATTTTTGTCCTGCAAGCGAAAATCCTATTTCACTAGTTCCTTCATTAACCAAAAAAAGTAGTAACTTAAATGTTTCGTAAAAGCAGCGTAAAGGGTTAAGTAAGTTTTCTGATTAAAAAAAATAAATACGTTGAATGGAAAAAACATATACATATGGAAAAATGTAACATATATTCTTAAAGCTCCTAGCCCACCAGCGGCCGAGCGGTAAAGTCGCTGAACACTGGTAGTTCGGTCCGAGGTTCGAATTCCGCGAACGGGCTGGCTGCATGGGTGTTTTCGTGGTTTTCCCCATGTGTAACGTGTATACGAGCCAGTTCCCCTTAGAAAGTCCTCCACAAAAGGCATCTTCCCTTTAGGCAGATAGCCCTCGAGGCTTTGCCGTAATTAAGTAACCTAACCTAACCTAACCTAACCTTAAAGCTCCTATCAGTATTAAAGCATGCCTTGTTCTGCGATGAAACTCTTTTGAAACTTCGAATTTATAGTCAAAAGCCAGAATTTTTAGTGCGTCCATTCTTGCTTGATGCATAAGTTAAACAACAGCTCAAATTTTCATAAAAGTCATGATTATTACTTTTTATGACATTAAATGAAGCGACTAGAAGACAGTATAAATGTGTTTGTATTTGACTACATTATGCAACGTAGGGTTAAGCCCTTCTGTGCAGAATTATTTATTATTATTAATAGTAAGAAATTATTATTAGTAGTAAGAAATTATTATTAGTAGTAAGAAACTTATTTTAGTAGTAATAGTAGTAATTATTGTTAGTAGTAAGAACTTATTATTATTAGTAAGAAAATTTATTCAAGATAATTATTTTATTAATTCAAGATAAAAATATAATATAGATTATTTTATTAATTCAAGATAAAAATATAATATAGAATTATTTTATTAATTCAAGATAAAAATATAATATAAAATTATTTTTAATTCAAGATAAAAAACATAATATAGAATTATTTTATTAATTCAAAATAAAAATATAATATAGAATTATTTTATTAATTCAAGATAAAATTGTAATATAGAATTATTTTATTAATTCAAGATAAAAATTCTAATTGCATAAACAACATTAATGCTTAGTCATTTAAGTGTGTGATATATTAGTTAAATTATTTCATTAAACCTTATTGTAAAAATAGAAGTGCAATGTCTCTCTGGCGTAGTTGAGTTTTAATAAAATTTTTGAAGTACTAAAAATTTTAAACTATCTCCTTCGTTTCCTGTTTTAAATCTTCTTTAATATTTCTTAGTTTGTAAAGTTATGTCTATCATCATCGATATCATATATAGCAGTGGAATGGGTGATGATTACATAAAGACTCATTAAAAATATGACTATGGAAATAATGTAATTTTAATTAAATACTATTTCCTTATTTTCAGGTCTATTAGAAAAAGAGCTGACTGATAATGAACCCGATTTCATTCAGAAGGTAAAAGCTATATATGACTCCTGTATGGATATAGGTTAGTTTCATTTGGAAAATTCCACGTTTAGTTAGACGTATATCATGACAAAAATTTTAGCAGCTGTAATAATAAATTGGAAAACATATGATAAAACTCAAAATTAAATCTTTCTTAAGGAAAACTATTCTCCCAAATATATGCTTTTTATCTGACCATAACAATTTTGTTTTGCATTTAACTCATAAGATGAGTTGTTTTTATTGAATAAAATGCTGACCATCGAAAGTACAGAGAAGTTTCTTTATGATTCAAGGTTTTCTCCATGCAAATTCAGTGACCTATACCACTAACTCTAGTGTGATATTCTGATATTCTGCAATAATTATAAATTAAGGTATAAATGTGCAATATAGTAGGAGACAAATATTATCAATGGAACTCGCATTTCTTCGGAGATTTTTATTCTGTGCGTTGTAGAATAACAAAGTAACAAAATACTTAAAAAAAACTCAAAAGAATTCACATTCGATTTCTATTGGTCATTTAAAAGAAAGCCATAACTTAAATGAACTGCTACGGGATATGGAACGGATATATTGGTTCATTTTCTCAAAGAATTCGGAGAAAAAATTCTGAATTATTCACCAGGACACTTACATTCAATATAACGCATGGATTTGCGATGTTTCTGGGTGGTTAAAAATTTACCTACCTTTACCCGGATTAAGGAACTTCATTCTAGAATAAATTCCACTAACTGGAGTGTTAAAGTAAAAGATTTGATTTTTAAGCTCAGATGTCTGCTGTATGACTGTATTTTACATTTAGATGGACGGATTATTTTAAATATTACAATAGTATGTTAACCACGTGAAAGTAAACATTACTGTTCATTTCTCTTAACTCAGGAGTAAATGAAGTTAACAAATGCCTAAATACAGATGCAGTATGGCGTCACTGCACGGTTGCTAATTTGAAGCTTTTTATGCACATATGTGAATTTGAGAAAGAGAAATGGGTCGCCGGAGTTTGAACAGACATTGAACAATCAATCTAATCAGAAGTACTTGCTCGTCAATAAGAGGTACGCTGATTAGTTCGTCATATATTACAAGCAATCAGTAGGGGCAAAGAGGACATCTGTCCCTGGGAGTAGCATCCAAGGGGCGCCAAACTGACGCTACGAAATTTTTAAATGAAATATTTTCCATTCTTGGCACACAAATTCTTTACTTGTCTCCGGGCGGGGGAAACTCTAGCTACGCCCCTTCAAGCAATGTGTCCAGTACAATCGTATATTACAAGCAATGTGTCATATATTACAAGAAAATGTGTCGTATATTACAAGCAATGTGTCACATATTACAATAAATGTGTCATATATTACAAGCAATGTGTCCAATGCATACAGTCGTAGAAAGTGCCGCATGCATTTAACCCACAGAAGTAGAAGGCTTTGCACGCAATGCATTCTAATGAATCTAATGATGACGGGCTTGATAGGTTGAACCTTCAGGCTACTGAAGAAGTCTCTGAGCAAATTGTGCATTTGTTACGCTGTTTGGATGTCATCAAGCAGTTGTGTTCATTTAATGGCCTTTTCGTATTGCTGAGATAATAGACGAATTTATCCTACTACGTTTTAACAATATTGCTAGCCTGAACCATTCTTCAAAGGTTTTCCGAGAGTTAGAGCTTCAGGATATATGTTTTTGAATAAGTCCAGCCTTTAATATTCAGATCATTCTAGAAGACATAACATCCTCATTTCACTAAGTCAATTTATAGTTAGAGAGGATTTACTAAGAAAAAAAAAAAAAAAAAAAAAAAAAAAACATCAATTATTCTATCAAAGCCGTATTTATGAAATTTTCGCACAATAAGTATTGCATTGGATGAAACTGCTTTCTTTATGGCGACTTTGTGGGAAAATCCATTAGATTCTTAGGGAATATAGAATGCGTTAAAGTTCGAAAAGGATATTTCCTAATAATAATGCCATAAACGAGTTGTTCCACTCCTTCTAGTCCTTATAATAATATTCTTACACTTCTAATGTTATAAGGTATTAAAATGCTGAATTGTTGTTAGCTACACTGACTACCAATAAGTATTTGGACACGTATGCAAATGACGATATCTGCGGTAGTAAGGTACGTCATCCGCCGATAAGTGTAGGAAACAGCATCAGCTTAAGTTGAATCGCAGGTTCTGTGATTTCGAGAAAGGTATAATTATCGGGTATCAAAATGTGGGCCGATTCTTAAGGGACATATCTAGCGATCTGAAGTACCCAAAATCGACAGTGGCCTATGTGATTAAAAAGTGGAAGGTGATCGGTGATTGTCGGAATGTGCTCCGAGTCGGCAGACTAACGAAATGGGAGATAGAGACCGACGAGTGCTGTCCAAGAAATTCGGAAGAACCGCCCCAACCGATGGCCCTCATCCGCGAGGAGTTTCAACAGGCATCTGGGAGTATTGTTTCAAAGAATACCATGTAAGGAAGCACATCTGCTTGGTTTCATGGTCGTGCTGCTGCCCATAAACCTTTGATCACAAGTCCAACCGCGCTGCTCGGTTAATGTGGTGCAAAAACATCGAAATTGGAACCGTAGATCAGTGGAAACGGGTTGGAGTGACGAATCAAGGTTCACCCTTTACCGTTCGGAGGGCAGGGTCTGGGTCTGGCGTCTACCTGGAGAACGTCTCCTGCCAGAATGCATTTGTGCCAACAGTCAAGTTCGGCGGATGGATAAATGTCTGGGGGTGTTTCTCCTGGTATGGGCGGGACCCTTGGTCCCCATCATGGTAAACTCAACTCGAATGCACTATTTTGGATGACAATGTGCTTCCTACGTTGTGGCAAGTTTTACGGGTTGGACCCCTGTTACTTTCAGGACGACGATGCATTGTATGTTTCGATGTTAACATTGGTATGGTGCCAATGGAGTTCAAATGGAGGCTGCCCAGAATCCAGACCTGAATCCTATCGCGAACCTTGGGAAGTTGCATCGCCGAATTCAGGGGTTTAACTCGTGCAAAATCGCTGAAGAACTTCTATTCTCCAAGCCGAGTGGAAGAAAATACCACTAAACAAAGACTTGGGGAAAGTATGCAAAATTAGGAGTTCTATATTGTTTCAATAAAGTTAGTTTTTCAAGGTTCCAATACTTATTGGTAGTCAGTGTAATTATATATGGAAAGTCATAAGGAATTGTAACCCTAACAGTATGTAATAAGCTTGAATCAGTTAATTTGAAACGCCTCTTATAAGAAAGAAAAATCTGCCATTCTTGGTACATAATGCATATGTTTCTTTCATGTAATGTTCTAATTTATTAAAAATGTATAAATGTTAACATATAATAAATCATTCAAAAGAGAAAAAAAAGATTGAAAAGTTTGCACAAATGATGCTAAATATAAAAGGGAATTTATGTCAGTACAAGACAAAACGTATATGAATAATGAAGTTCAAATTATTATTCCAATTTAGCATTTTTCATTCTATGCTTATTTAATATTTTATATGTATAGAAAGCATTGAGAAGTTGGGCAGCCAGCCACTGAAAAGGCTTCTGAAAGATCTTGGGGGTTGGCCGGTGGTGGAAGGAGATAATTGGAATGAGAGTTCTTTTGACTGGATTCAAGCGCTTATTCAGATCCGCAGAAATGGCTACAATCAAGATATTTTGATGGATTTGTCTGTTTCGGAGAACGTAAAAAATAACACGGTTCACACCATAAAGGTAAGTCAACATGCATTATAAATATCGGTATATTTGGTAAAATTTCATATCATTTTGTTCAAGTTATTATTGTAATTATATTCACGGCCTTGCTAAATATATAATGCATTCAAAAGGCATTATACATTTAACTTAATTTAATTAAAAATTAGGAAATAAATTAATATTTTCTCAACTCTTTTCATTTAATAAAAGGAATAAAATGAAAGAATAATTTAATGGGAATTACGAATAACAATGAACCGAAATTTAAAATTTATTTGAATGAAATCTCTCAGATGCAATACGTGTATTTTAAAGCAGCTCTTTATTTAGTTACGTTAAACATAATCATACACATGTCAAAAATATAAGAATTACAGTATGATTAACACATATTATTATATACGTTATAGTTTTCCACTGGGCACCAGCTGTTCTACATCCACTTCTTTCCCCTTAAAATAGTTTATTTTCCTCAAGAACTTCCGTAATCCTTAAGCTTTTAAGTTTACCTCTAGATGTATACTGAAGACTTTATTGCCAATAATAATAACAATGAAACAGAAAAACAAGACATATGTCTTAAATGCTTTTAACTAAATGAAACTAATACTAAAGGAGCAAAAGGGGATTATTTAAAATTGCAAATTTGAACGCCTATTGAAAAGTCACAGACTGTAATGTCGCACTGAAATGAAATTGTTTTTTTAAGTAAACAAAATATACATAAGGACTATTTGTCAAAAGTTGGTAGATGGTTCTGGAGTAAATTTTCTTAGCAAATTAACTTCATATTTACCATAAACTTGAGAAAATGAGAAAGGGATAGGAAATTAGCGCAATTAGGCGAAGTAAAAAGCAAAGCAACTGTCGTCCAGAGAGACGATATAGTGGTTAATGGAGCCTATTAAGGCAGCGAAGGGCTCTGGTTTGAATCCTGGAGAGGACATGCATGCTTGTAAATGTATAGGTGTCGGTGCGGAATGGCGGTACCCTAAAGATGCGGCGAGCAGAAAGTCCTCTCGTGTGGATTGGTGGAAGGGGAGAGGGGTGGAAGACCCCGGATCTCCCCGCCCCGGGGTTCTCGCCCTCAACATTGGTGGAAAAAATAAAAGTGCAACCTCTCTGGAGTAGGTTCTGGCAACTATTGTGTCATGTAATATGGACAAGAAAAAATCAAGAAAAGGCAACTGGGCAGCGTATTTAAGCCAAAAATAAACTGAGACGACTCGTAGTTATCGCCTTCAGTCACTCACGTTTTCACTGGTTTGCAGTGACGAATATTTTTAGGCAATTAATATTAAAGGAACAATTTCAATTGCTTATTAAAATGCTTCATAAAATGCGCATTTTGCGACCCTTTGACTGTAGAAGTCCTCAGCGACGGATACTTATACTCGTATATGGCCTCATAGCGGCCAATAACATAAACTGAATTGTGGCTCAATCATAGAAAGGGCCATTTTCGGTACGATTTTATTAGCCATTCCCTTAAATTTAGGTTGCCGTAAAACAGACGTGAATGGAACAATACTCGACTTCTATACCTACTCCGAGAAGCCGCTGGCATAGAAATAGAGAAATCATACTCAGATAGTTCCCCATCACCGCCGATGCCAGTCCTGTATCCCTCTGACAATCTTGTTTTTGTTAGACATTTTTCTTCTTTTTTCGAGTTCTCTTGCTATTAAGCTCTTTGGAACCCGTGGGAATCTGAAAACTTTAAAGAACGAATCATGCGTGCCAGATTTCCCCACCGATCTGTAATTAAATTGTATAGTTCATTAGGTTATTTTGAACTAGGATACATGAAAAATGAGCAGTGCCCTCTCGGGACTCCAACCAGGACCTCTCAAATACGCCTCGAATGTGCTAATCGTTAGACCACGAAGGCATACAGAAAGGACGACGACGAAATGCCTTATATACTCCCACTTTTCACGGGCGACTTGGGATTAGGGGACCTAATCACCAAATCCTGGTGGTGAAGAATGATCATCCAACACCTTTTAGTTCGAAAGCCACTGTAGATTTATTAGGTTATATCCGAAGCAGAAGACGTAAAAAATAATCAATGCCCCACTGGGACTCGAACCTTGGACCTTTTGATTAAGCCCTGAGTTTGCTAAGCGTTACACAACGAAGGCATGCAGAAGGGAAGGAGAAAATACCTTATAATGTACTGAATAATTCTAAAGATATAAATTAGAAAATATCATTTTAGATTGTGGGTGTAAACTGTAATAATCATTGTTAGATGGATATACATCTTGATAAATCATTTGTTAAAGTTAATAATTTCATTTGGCTATCAAATGTGAATGTAGAAAAGACATTTTATAAAAGTATTTGTTACTATCGCATATTTCACGTAAGTGATTAAATATTCCCACTAAGGAAAGTAAAACTGAAAAAAATGTTGAAACGACGTTTCTTTCTTTATTCTTTCTTCTTTTTTTTCCCTTTCTCTCTTCAAACTGATAAAAAATACTTTATATTTTTTTTTCAAGTTGGGCCGTGCAGAATTCGGGATAGAGCGTGAATATTTGGTGAAAGGATTAGATGATCCCGCCACAGCCGCTTTCCTCGAAATGATGGTGAAAGCAGCAAATAAATTAGGTGCAAATAAAAGTATCTCAGAAAATGAACTTAAAGAAGCATTCGATTTCGAAGTCATGCTTGCCAGCGTAAGTATAGAAGACTTTCAGTTTCTTTTTAATATATTTTTATTTCGTGGTTACAGAAATTGCTCACTATATTATACATCATTTACTGTTAACCGTTCTATACAAATATATAGTTCTCCCAATTCTTTCATGTGAACAGAAATTTTAGGACACCTAACTATATCTAACTAAAATTATACATTCAGCTATGTTTAATGTAAGTTGAATTTCAAGCGAATTTTTTTAAATCTCCCTACACTGTATTAACATGACACAATTTTTTAACGTACTCTCAAAATTTCAACTGATAATAGAATTAAAGTTAAATATAACGTAGTTATAATACCAGAGTATTAGATTTAAAGAATTATGACATGATTTCAAGCACGTTGTAGCTTTAAAAGTTCTTTTGATATTAATATACATCAACTTTTGCTTCAGTTACTCAAAATTCAGTAAAATGGAACATGATCAGGACTATACTTTCTTTATGTTTTTATATATAAGTTTATTTATTCAAATATATGATTAAATATTAGTTTCATTCAATCAGAATTCACCAAATTAAGACGAACGGCCTGAATATGCTAGAGATCTCTTATGTTTTTCATGTGTCAGATGAGACAAATTAATCTACATATCCACAATGAACTGTTAATGTTTCAAATACGCAAATTGTATCATATTTACTCAAATTTCTCCGTATGCGTATTTATCAACGCAAATTGTATCATAGCTGTGATGACGACAAACTGTATCATATTATAGAGTCTGACTTACTTTGACTAGTATTCAAACCCTTAACAGAAGTAGAGCGTGTCTGAAGTGAACGACAGAGATTTGAGAAGGTTAAAATAACCTTTTTTATTTAATCAGAACTTAAACATAAAACGCTCTTCTCGGGCTTAGCAAAATAACCACCACTTCTGGCGATGGAACTAAAGTAACAGTCAACTTTAAATTAAAATGTAGGCTAGTAGTCAAAGACTACACAAATTATTTAAATCGAAGTTGGCTGAAAACTCTAACCGGCGTACAAACGGAACTGTAATTCAAAGGCGAATAACTAAAATCTTATCAGAGCTAGCGACATCTAGTAAAGCTGGCCTCGAGATACGGAAACACGCTCTGTCTTACAATCCCAAAACTTCAGTGTAAATACTCTTCTAACCGATTTACATTTCTGGTGAGAAAACGAAATGGAGAAGTTATAGTAAAGGCTGAGATCATAAACAACTGGTTAATGCAATATAATAGTAACCGTACAATAGAACCCAATTTTGTTAGAATATCACCCATTTAGTACGTCGTTCCATTTACTTGATCTGAATTTGGTTTTATTTTATTTTACTTGTCTACTTTGTCCCAATCAGCTAATATTTTCTACAAAAGATGTACATTCTACAAAAGATGTACTGGTTATTGAGTCCCTTATGAGATGGTGATTTTATCTATCAGATCACATTTAAACTTGCGGTGCGAACAAAATTATTCAACGGAAAATTTATTCCTGAAAACTGACGTTTCCTTCTAGGCTCAACACACGATGTCTACGAGCATTAAATCCTAATATTACAGCTGAAGTAACGAAGATTTTATAACCGTTTGTTTTGTTTTTTCAAGTATAACCAGACTTTTAATTAAGCGATTTAATGAGTTCGAAAAATAAAGTATTTGGTAATATTTTAGAGATTATCTGTATCTTCTAATCCTAAGTTATCTGCATCTTCTATTCCACATTACATGCATATGTATTGTAATAAAAAAGTAAAAACGACAACTCTTTTAGATTTTAGAAAAACGAAAATTTATCAGTGAATGTCGTCGAAAAATTCCAATCGATGTTAACGATAGGAATTTATAAATTAATTAGGAAATTAACATCACAGATATATATATACCTAAAATTTATCTTTGTAAATCAATCAAAGCAATTTTACGACTTTAGCGCTTTCGTTTGTTTATATATGATTCGGTACAAATTTGTGTTTTATATGGTATTTAATTTTACACTTGTTTTACTAAAAATTTGCATTTATGTGATTTATTGTTTATCCTACAGTTCACTTATCCATTGGAAAAGAGCAAGAATACGAGTATTGCGGATAACAGTACTGTTAAGTACCTTTTTAAGTTGCTTATTTATGAGTAAATAATATGATAATTAATTTTATATTGATTCATTTTCTTGACCTCTCCCGCAGTTTTCATTGCCATCGAATGAAACATTTGATACAAATAATGGGAACAGCAACACCGTTCTATATACCATTCCGGATCTTATGGATGAGGTACCAGAGGTAAAGTTATTCCTATATAAAACAATTTAGTTAGTTTAAATTCGAAATTTCAATGAAAACTAAAAATCAACGTAGATATGTATTTGTTTTAAGCATGTAGGTATAACGCTTTCTGTTCCTTCCTTTGACTCTTCAGAAATGTTTCCACAATGACATACAAAGCTCTACATTACCTTATTCTATGGTTGGTTCAAGTTAAAAGCAAAAACAAATCAAGATAAGCGAAAAATTCGGAAAAGAAGGGAAATGCTTGAAACAAAAAGACAGAGTAATGATAGAAAGACGACAGTAAAACCCTTAGACATGCAGCCGAAACCATATGCAGATGTTGTCCAAAGACTTGCATACAATATTTTGTACTTTGAATTAAAAGAACTTAATAAACATTACGATTGCGGATCTTTTATGTTTAGATGGATGGTATGAATATGATTGGCTACCTTGTTAAGCTTGCATACATAGAATGATTTGCTTTCGCATATGGAAACGTCTGAGTTTGATTTATTCTTTTATGGCAAAGCACATTAGGGATATCTGCCTAAAAGATGAGATGTCTTCCTGGAGACCTTTCTAAGAGAAACCGACTCGTATCCACGTTAAACAACGGAAAAGCTACGAAAATGCCGGTATGCATTTTCGTATTGCGTTTTTGTTATGCATTTTCCTAGCACGTTTGCCTGGAATTGGACTCATGTCGACTACCAGTGTTCAGAGATTTTATTACTTGGTTTCTGGTAAACCCATACAATTCTGGGTTGGGTAGGTTAATAAAACTTGAATTTGGATCAGATAACATGTGGGACCATCGTCATGCGTAAGCGTGCAGAGAAGAGGTGAAATGAAAAAGCAGCATAAGCAAAGAACATTGTTTTATTCACCAAATTGATTGGACATAGCATTAAACTGCTAAAAGGTATATGTTATTTGTATATTGTACTTCAGAATAATCATTTTCATTTTGATAGAGAAAAGGAGTTCAATATAATGTACTTAAAAGCGATGACAGTTTTCTGTTTGTCAGAAAACTAGAATGTCATGGAACCAGAGAAGAAGATAAAGAGCCTAATTCAGCCACCTAGTTTCCTTAATTTCATTTACCGTCTAAGCATACCAGAATATGTGAAGATTTTAACAAAATAATTTCTGCTTTCAAATGGGTATTTTCAAATAAACTTTATTTTAATTCAAAATTTATGAAATATCGAAATTTTTTTGTACATAATATATTTAATTATGATTAATAAGGGGCACAGCAAATTCAAACCAGGCAATTTATCGGATAGTACTTTTTGAAGCTAATTTTCATTCTTTTAGAAGTTAATTTAAGTCGCTTAAGGGGGGTGTAAATAGACACTTCAGCATTTTGCTTTAGCATCAGCGCTCACAGAAATGCTCTCTGTTATGGATGTTGATTTTATTTGACAGATTTTTATTTATTCTTGAGTACATACTGCATGTCACATTTTCCTTTTGATAATTTAACAAGAGTAGTCCAAAAATTTAAAGGTCCGCTGGCGCAGTGGCTAGCGCGTCGCGCAGCAGCACAGCAGGTCTTCGGTTCGCTCCCCGAGATGGGCAAGGTTGACTCAGTCTTTCATCCCTTGAGAGGTTCGATCAAATGAGTACCAAGTTCGGTTGGGGGCTAAACACCGGGGGTCCTGCGGCAAGCCGACCACTTGTCCAGGCAAAATGCTCATGCAGCCCGGGGACCCACGGTCTGGAAAGCAGATATCAGGTCACTACCGGCCGTGACTTTCTAAGGCCTGTTTGTAACGCTGAGTTTAGTTTAGTCCTCGACTGCGTCTCAGTTCTTCATAATTTTGGAAGAAATTAAACTGAATATGTTCGTGAAGCTAGAATACACATCTCTTTACAAAAATATTGCCGTTTGAAATGCCAGCATACTAAGCAATATGTTTTTTTACATTTGTAAGTTAATGCATTCACAGGGAGTGGCTTCAAATCCCTCGGTCATTTTAGCCTCTCATTATCGAGAGAGTTATCCAGAGTGCACCACTTAGAAAAAAAAGAATTACTCTTGTGAGAAAGAGAACCTCCGTCCCACGTATAATAATTATTTTAAATGATTGGACAGAAATAGTTTGATACGTGTTCGAATCTTGGAGAAGGGGCTAGCTGCGAAGTTTTTTTTTTTCGTGGATTTCACTAACGTACATACGAAACATTTCACTTAGAAATACCTCCACAAAGGCATAACCGCTTTTAAGAATTAGGTCTGAATGAAGCAAAGGCTTTCAGAGGCAAGCAATCTAATTAAAATTTAGATAAGGGATAAATTATTCCACGTTATCACTGCAGCCATTATATGTAAAACACAACAAACAGCGCAAAATATGCACCATCGTGCCGTCTCCACTGTTAAATACGTGCTACCTAGGAAAATAAACTTACGCATGTGAATTAAAATTACTTATTTTATTTTATGGCAAAGCTATTTGCCTATATGGTTTCGTTGAGAGTAACAAAAGTGTAATGCAACCAACCTGTTTGCGGAGATTTCATTCAAACAGAGCTATGATTATTCGGTGATTTTAGCGTTCAATTGCTGGTGCATAAATATGTCTACAAGAGTTAAAATTCATAATGAAAATGTAAAATGTATGCTATTAAAACACCACCTTCAACTTAAATTCTTATGCATTTTCATTTAAATTCTTATAATTTTTAATCGCTTATTCGCTTCTTATATCATTGCTATTGTATATAAAGTGTATAAATAAATTTATGCTTACCAGTTTTTATTAAAAGCTTATTTTATTATGCGCTTGCTAAGGTTTTATTTGAAGAACTTAAATTAGTAATCATCGATGCTAATGCCCATTTTACCTACACATTTTAGATACAAATCTATGGTTTTTCAACCATTTTTCTATAGAAGTTGGTAATTGTATTGTACGTGTTACATGTAAATTTCATTCTTCATGTTAAATATATTGCTTTGTCTGCTGAGGCTTTCAATTACCGTATATACCCGCGTATAAGTCGATATATTTTGGACAAAATAAAGACTTCAAAGTGGGGGGGGGGTCGACTTATACGCGGAGCCATAAAAAATTAGAAGAATCCGAATTTCAAAAATTTCTTTATATAATGCAGTTGTTTTCTTCCCGCACTCAAATTGGACGACTTATCAAGTAAGTCAATTACTTGAAGTAATTTCATGACTTAGATTATGTGACGAACTAATCACAGAGTTTCATACTTTAACTAGAGTAAGTTTCGATTAAACCAAAGAATTTTCGTCCCCGAACAACCGCTCAATATCGAGCAATAAAAAAGTTTCGCCAACACGCCAAGAAAAGAGAAATGCAGATAGTTTTTACGTACGTATAAGTCTTTATAATAGTTACTGTTCATTCATGAAATACTTTTTTAACAGGCGTACACGTCGAAAACAACCTAAAAACGACTGTGGCCCGTAATTTCCGGGAGGATTGACATCCGTCATTCAACCCTATATGTCTGCCTCATAAGCCCTTCAAGTAAATGTTACAAAATATTGGGCAGAATGGATTAGTTCCGGTTAGAACCAACATTACAAAAGGAGGCAACATTAAAAAGCCGAATATTACATTAATTGCTCAGTGGGTTAAAGATGCTTGAAATGAAATATCCTCTGAAATGATAAAATCATTAAAAAAAAATGTTGTATTAGCAACGAACTAAACGGCACAGATGATGAATGCTGCTTTTGAAAGTGAAAATGATGAACGAAGGCTCTAGTAGTGATTGTAACGATCCAGAGTTCGAGACTGAAAATATGTATGATGACGAGCCGAATGATGACTGAAAAGAGTTCTATGAAATGTTTGACGAATCTGACCATGAATCAGGACGTTGAAGGATTTTGATTTTGTTTATTTACCAAGGTATTTTTTATCGTATATCTACTTTTTTTTCTCAGATGATTTTGAATAAATGTAGTACTTAAAAAAAATGTTTCGAAGTTTCTCGATCGATTTCGGAAGGAGGGGGTCGACTTATACGTGGGTTTCTTATTTTCTACGAATTTTTTATGTCGAAGTGGGGGGGGGGTCGACTTATACGCGGTATCGACTTATACGCGGGTATATACGGTAAGACTTCTAATAATTTCATTAACAGAACTAACCATTAAAAGTTTAAACAATCTTCTTCTGAACCAAAGTAAAAAAAGCTCCAGATTTCATAAAATAAGAATATTATATTATGGAAGTGGAGAAAAAAAACCACTGCTCATTAGTTTTGTCAACAAAGGAGACAAAAAAAATTTTGCTGGAAGCTATAGTTTTAAAAAATTAAAGTTTATTATCATTTTTTGCCCCTGTAAGGATATTAAATTTATTATTATTGTAGTTAAAAATAAATTTTTTAAATTTAATTTTGTTTAAATTTTACGTTTTTTCATGTCATTACTCTGTCAATCAGGAAGACCAACAAATGAAAACTATCTATTTCTTTAGAAAGGCAGGTAAACGTGTTTTGTAAACTCAGTAGTTTAGTTACAGCTCCTAATTTAACCTTATGCTTGGTCGTTTAATTAAGAAAACATATTTTTCCTACTTTACTCTGATCCTCGTCAATTCCTGAAAACGAGGTAGCCATATTGTCGTTTTGGGAAAGAAACTAAGAGGAGACAGAATTCCCAACAGTGATTACCAGTAACTTCTCAAAAACACTAATTAAAAAGAATGATGTATCCAATTAAATATATCTCTTGCCTACTTTTTTAAACAGTATCAGAAATTGATAAATATTTTTATCATACGTAAAGTAGAACTACCAGTAATTATTATGAAATCAAGATATCAAATATTAATTCGAAAAGTGTATATTACAACAACATGGTATTTATTATATTGAATTATTTCTTTGTATACAGGTTTTAAAATAAAAATATTTTCTTTAAAGTATTATTAGCTGTTATTGTATTGTTCATAACTGTGTTTCATGTATTGAATTATTTTTTCACTTGCATAAAAAAAGACTCATTACAGCTG